GGGTTTTTAGAAAAAGCTTGATTCTTTGACTTTTGTTTGACATGAAAAATTAAACCTTTGGAAACGAATATTACACAGCTAGGGCGTTGAACAAGATCTTCGAGACGTGGAAGATAAAGGCGATACCTTCATGGAACATAAGTGGCGAACTATGCAGCGGAGACGCCATTGATGACAGTGTTAGCATCGACAACGAAGCTTTTAATCCTTTAATCAAATGCGATTGCTCTTTTGTCAACTCTACTATCTGTCGCATCGTCGCCTTGTACGTTTGCCTTCCATCTGTTCGACGCTTTGTCCCACCCAGAGCCAATTTTGAATTTTGCTTGTCTTTTAATTTGTTACAGGAGGGCTCGTGGGATGGATGTTGCCGGACCAATTCCTGAAGAGCTCTGGAGTCTCGTTTACATCTCCAATCTGTACGCTTTTGTTATGCATCAGGCATTGTGCTTCACTTACTTACTTTAAACAAGCATTATTGCATTGGAACACACTCAATTTTCAACCTTTTTCCTATTGGCAGGAACCTAAATCGGAATTTCTTGACTGGTCCTCTGTCTCCTGGAATTGGAAATCTGACCCAAATGCAGTGGATGTAAGGCACTGAAGACCCTTTTCACTATATAATTTTCCCTTAGAAAAGCTAAGTAGCCTATGTGAGCAGTTTTTTTCTTCTTCTTATTGATGTGCAACTATTCATTATCCTAGGACTTTTGGGGCCAATGCATTGTCCGGACCACTTCCCAAAGAAATCGGACTGCTTACTGATTTAAGATCACTGTAAGAACCTCTCAACAAGGATAATATGATCACATTTTCAATTGGCTCAATAAGTTTTTGCTGATAGATTTTCTTTACTCAGAGCGATTGATATGAATAATTTCTCCGGTTCTATACCACCTGAGATTGGCAATTGCACAAGGCTGGTGAAAATGTAAGTGAATGCAATGCTTTGTTCATCATAATTCATGTAAATATCTTGACCCATGGATTCCTCTGAAGCTCTAAATAATGGTAATGTTTAGTATTGCTAGCATCAACACTCCATCACAGTCTCGGTTCTCATAATATCTCTATTTGTTTAAAGAGCTTCCGAGCCGCAGTAAGTTTAACTGTGTTCGTATTAATGACAGATACATTGGAAGTTCAGGACTTAGTGGTGAATTGCCCTCATCATTTGCTAATTTTGTTGACTTGGAAGAAGCGTAAGATATATATCTTATTATAATCTCGTGGGTTGCTATTGTTGTATCTGGCTACTCATTTAGAAACATAAGCATACTCCTAATTCTTGACAAATTTGGATTGACTTCTATTTTCATGTCGTTTCAGTTGGATTAATGATATCCAACTTACAGGTCAGATACCAGACTTTATAGGAAATTGGACCAAACTTACTACCCTGTAAGAAGATTTCATATCACAGCTCTTCAATCTTATTTCTTTGTTTGAAGCTATAGCCTATACATTGAAGGCTATACTCAACCTCTGATACATGCTTTACTGCAGGAGAATTTTGGGGACTAATTTGAGTGGTCCAATTCCATCTACATTTGCGAACTTGGTTTCATTGACAGAATTGTAAGTGTTGGATATATGTTCTTTTCACCTTCACTTTTCCAATACTGACTGACTAACATCCAAATGCAGGAGACTAGGTGAAATATCCAATAGCAATTCTTCTCTTCAATTCATCCGAGACATGAAATTTCTTAGTGTCCTGTAAGGAATTCTGTTCGACTTTCGCCTAATCCTGATGAATTTCTGAGCTCATTTGGCTCTTCCCATTCCTCTGTATTTTTTTGACATTTTTTAAATATCACGCAGAGTATTACGGAACAATAATCTTACAGGCACAATACCTTCCGATATCGGAGATTACTTGCAGCTGCGACAACTGTAAGTATGAGATAAGATGACACAATGTTTTGTTCCGGATCTTAAGATGCTCCAATAGTTGTCCCATGTCTTCTTTATTACTAAACTGAGATGATATATTTTCTAACATAAAGCGGCTAGACCTTTAATAGTTACATGCAATATACATTTTTTTTTCCAGTGATTTGAGTTTCAACAACCTAACTGGGCAAATTCCAGCTTCGCTTTTCAACTCAAGCCAACTTACTCACTTGTAAGAATATATTCATTTTTCCATCACATGGTCTTATTCAAAATTAGCTGACTAATTGAGTGTAAATATCATTGCCTTCATTTAGGTTTCTTGGAAATAACAAGTTGAATGGTTCTTTACCCACTCAAAAGAGTCCCTCTCTTAGCAATCTGTGAGTAACAAATATATGTAGAGGAATGTATCTTCCCTCTGGTTACCATCTATTGAAAATTTGCAAATTTATTCAAAATGTTTTATGTGCAGAGATGTGTCATATAATGATTTAGCAGGGAATCTTCCTTCTTGGGTTCGCCTACCAAACTTGCAACTGTATGTTCGGGAGCCATGTGCTTGAATTTCATGGCACATAATACATTATTGTGCTGACAACAATTTTTTTTTTGTGTGTGTGTGTTATTCTGCAGTAACCTGATTGCCAACCACTTTACAGTGGGAGGTTCTAACAGAAGGTGAATCTAGTGCTCCTTGGTGCAAAGTTCTACGTTATTTATATTCGCAAGCATACAAATGTTAATCTTCATACCACATTCCTCATTTTAGTACTTTTTGTTCTTTCTAAAAGGGTTTTGCCTGGACTGGACTGCCTCCAGAAGAATTTCCTCTGCAATCGAGGAAAAGGAGTATGTAAGTGAATCTCAATTGTGATTGAAACTTATCTCATTTTTAGCATTGAATCAATGGAAAAATGCATAGACAATGTAGGATGCATATATTGGATAATAAGTTGGTTAAGATGCTTCTCTCTTGATTGGTGGCCAGATTTCAACTTTTTTGTCAACTCTGGAGGCCCGAATATCAGGTCTTCTAGTGGAGCTTTGTATGAGAATGACGAGGAGGCGCTTGGACCAGCTTCATTTTTCGTAAGTAAAACGCAGAGATGGGCAGTCAGCAATGTAGGACTATTTACTGGAAGTAACACTAATCAATACGTAGCACGCTCAACTACACAATTTGCAAACACTTCGGACTCGGAGCTTTTTCAATCAGCGAGACTCTCTGCATCCTCTCTAAGGTATTATGGACTGGGGCTAGAAAATGGAGGCTACACTGTAACAGTTCAGTTTGCTGAAATACAAATAGGAGGTTCCAATACCTGGACAAGTCTTGGAAGGCGGCTTTTCGACATATATGTCCAGGTCTCTACTATTACATTGAACTTCCGCCCGTATACTTACATAGGAACGCTAATTATTCTTGTCTTTGAATCAGTCATTTTTGTTTTTGTGAAATTAAATGATCAATTCATATTGTCATTTAAAGTAAATAGAATATGAAAATATGCCCTGTAGTTTTTTAAGTAGAGAGAGGAAATCCTTAGTAAGCCATGGCATACAAGAGATCTGTTGTATTAGAATGTCGGGTGCAAGGTGCAGTGTAGAATTCATGAACTTCTCTTCTCTCAGAAATGGTTTCTGACTCTGAATTCCTTCTTCTTTTTTCAGGGAAAACTTGTAGAAAAGGACTTTGATATACACAGAGCAGCTAACGGTTCTAGCACCCGAGCAATTCAAAGAGTATACAAAGCAAATGTATCTGAAAATTACATCGAAATTCATCTTTTCTGGGCTGGAAAAGGGACATGTTGTATTCCTGCTCAAGGCACTTATGGGCCGTTAGTCTCAGCTATCAGTGCAACTCCAGGTATATACCAGAGACTTTCATGATCTTCGTAGAGTCAATGTCTCTTCTCAGTTCTCACCACCGGCTTTTCTTCTCTGCAGATTTCATACCTACTGTAGCTAATAAGCTGCCTTCGAAATCCAAGAAAAATATTGGGATCATTGTAGGGACCATTGTAGGAGCAGGATTGATAGGCATCTTGGTGATTGTTATCATCTTAATCATCCGTAGGAAAAGAAAAAGAGCGGCTGATGAAGAAGGTAAATAGAAAGTCTTAAGCTGTGTTAGTATTAGTAAAGTCTGATTGTGAACAACTGTAACATTCAAACTGGTTCTTTACAACTAAATACTCTTATACAGTGCTACACAGTCTGGACATAAGGCCGTACACGTTTAGTTATTCAGAACTCAAAGCTGCAACTCAAGATTTTGATCCTTCCAACAAGCTTGGGGAGGGAGGATTTGGACCTGTTTTTAAGGTAAGAGTCCTACACTCTGTGATGAGACACCAATATAGGGAGCATAGTGTAATAGAAGGTTATGTAATTGCTCCATTGGCTATATTCTAAAAGTATCCAGTGGTACAGGGAAAATTGAATGACGGAAGAGAGATTGCCGTGAAGCAATTGTCAGTTGCATCCAGGCAAGGGAAGGGTCAATTTGTTGCGGAGATTGCCACTATATCCGCTGTTCAGCATCGCAACCTTGTAAAACTCTATGGATGCTGCATTGAGGGAAATCAGCGCATGCTTGTATACGAATATCTCGCAAACAACAGTCTAGATCAAGCTCTATTTGGTATGCTCATGAGATCTTAAATGTGTCATCCTTTTATAGTTTTTTTTTGGGTAAAAACAACCCTTTGTTAGCTTACTTACACGTTGTGTGATTGTCGCAGAGGAAAAGAGTTTGCAGCTTGGCTGGTCAGACCGTTTCGAGATATGCTTGGGAGTAGCAAAAGGGTTAGCATATATGCACGAAGAGTCAAATCCTCGTATAGTGCATAGGGATGTGAAGGCAAGCAATATCCTGCTAGACTCGGATCTGATACCGAAACTCTCTGACTTTGGATTGGCCAAACTATATGATGACAAGAAGACGCACATAAGTACCCGAGTTGCGGGGACAATGTAAAGATCCTGAAAAACCTCGCATAAGATTTTGTTTGTGAAATGGGTTAAGTCAAGACTTACAATTGTTGATTGTTACCAATGCAGCGGATATCTCTCGCCAGAATACGTGATGCTTGGACATCTTACAGAGAAGACGGATGTGTTTGCCTTTGGTATAGTGGCTCTGGAAATCGTCAGCGGAAGGCCTAACTCTTCTCCTTTATTGGATGATGAGAAACAGTACCTTCTCGAATGGGTGGGTATCTCTCTATAAGACCAAATTGATGTGAAGTAACAAGACCTTTTGGTGAATAACTGAGTCTCCTTTTTGTTTTGTTTGGACAGGCATGGAGCCTACACCAAGAGAATCGTGATATGGAAATGGTGGATCCGGATCTAAAAGCATACGACGAGGAACAAGTGAAACGTTTAATAAGAGTTGCGTTCTTGTGCGCACAAACAGATCCTGTGATACGACCAGCTATGTCCCGAGTGGTAGGCATGTTAACAGGGCATGTGGAAGTAACGGAAGCCAACGCAAAGCCAGGGTACGTCTCAGAGAGAACATTCGAGAATGCAATGAGCTTCATGAGTGGTTCAACGAGCTCGAGCTGGATGATGCCTGACACTCCAAAGAGCCCTTCCAAGTCCCAACTAGAAGACGGACGGAGACTTGTTGAAAATTGAAAAACACACACTTGTGGATTCTATATCATATAAGTTTAGTTACACTTGATTTGTTTTTTGTAATCTTACATTTTTCAAAGAAAGTCAATATATATATATACTAAATGGTGTGGTTGGTAAATAAAACAAAAGTCTAATGATCTCAGGCAAGCCTTGTCTGACCAAAGTAGAGAATAAACGTACAAATATTAATGTCTCTTGACTTGTTATTTGGTCCGATTAGATCCATTTTTCCTTTTAGACCCAAAAAAAAGTAGCGAGTAAAGAGACCACCATTGTTGACATCTTCCCCGTTAAAGCGCGTGCGTTACACGTGATTTCTGGGATTAGTGTGTTTGGTTGGACCATTAGTTTTCAATTAAGCATAATAGTCTTCAAAGTCCAAATAATAAAACACACACACCTATGTACATAGCAATTCTTGCTTTGTTCTTTCTTGAACCAAAAGTAAAACCTCCGTCTGGTTCGTCACCACCACCGAAGATGTCCAGGCTATGGCGGTCTCTATGTCTGCTCCTCACGGTCTTGTTCTTCTGTATTTCCGGTCCGGTTCTAGCTCAAAACCGAACCGGAGCCACCACTCATCCCGACGATGGTCTGTCTGTCTTCTTCTTCTTTCAATATTTGACAAAAGTTCAATCGATTGGATTTTGCATAATCTTTTAGTCTTCGGATCCTAATTTTGTAGCATAGAATGTTTTTTATTTATCCTAAGAAATTTACCGGTTTATTTCAAATTTCAATTTACCTTTTTTGGTTTGCCTTTAAAGAGATCTGTTTAGTTAAGCGTAATTAAGGAAGGGCTAATAACGATTATGGTGGTGATGTGACCGTTGTGGATAAAATGAAACAGCACGAGCTTTGAACTCGATCTTCGCTGCTTGGAAGAAACGGGCACCCAAGGAATGGAACACCACCGGCGATCTTTGCTCCGGCGCCGCCATCGACGACAGTGTCACCGACGCCAACCCTGCGTACAACCCTCTTATCAAATGCGACTGCAATTTCCAAAACTCCACAATCTGCCGCATCACTACTCTGTACAGTCTTCTCTTTTGTTTGTGCACACAATCTGTTTGATGAATTCTCTCACTGGGAACTTTCTCCTCATTTTTGGGTGTTTTTTTTTACAGCAAGGTTTATGCCATTGATGTTGTTGGACCTATACCTCAAGAGCTTTGGACTTTGGAATATCTCACAAATTTGTATGCTTTTAATTATCACTTGACCTACCTTTTTGCTTATTGTTGTTAATCTAAAAGAGCACAAATCTTGAGAATGGACCTCAAATTCACCTTCTTTTCAGGAACTTGGCTCAAAATGTTCTCACAGGCTCCCTGCCTCCTGCAATTGGAAACTTGACCCGAATGCAATATATGTAAGCTTCTTCGTTTCTCTTTCTTGTGATTTTCATTTCATATTACGTCTTTTTTTTTTTTTTTAACTGTTTATTATCACGCAGGACTTTTGGGATCAATGCCTTGTCTGGCCCTGTTCCTAAGGAAATTGGTTTGCTTAAAGATTTAATATCACTGTAAGCTTTGGGGGATTCTTGATTGCTTAGATATGATAATGTCTTCACACTGTCTTCTTGAGGATTTTGATGCTTCCTTATACATAAATCTCTTTTCTGCAGTAGCCTTAGTTCAAATAATTTTTCCGGTGCTATACCAGCTGAGATCGGGAGTTGTACAAAACTACAGAAATTGTGAGTGCATCTGTCAAATATACAAGTTTCTATGTATTCATTCCCTGTGTATTGTTCAGATATGAAAACTGAACCTTCAAAATCATTTAGTGTTTTTACCAACCACAAAGTTCTTGTGCAGTAAATTATTTTTTTAAAATCTTACATTTACTGCTGCAGGTACCTAGGAAGTTCTGGACTGAGTGGGGAAATACCTTCATCATTTGCTAATCTTGTGGAGCTGGAAGAGGCGTAAGTTATACGAAATACCTTCATCGTTGGATTTCTACAGTTTGTAATCTTTTTCTTACTATACATTTTCGTTTTGCCGTGGAATGATTTTTTTTTTTCCATTAATGGTGTGCCAGTTTGATCACGGATCTGGAAGTTACAGGTCAGATACCAGACTTTATAGGAAGTTGGACCAAACTTGTGACTTTGTAAGAACATTTCATTATTTTTTATATATAATGCATCTGTTCCTTCGCTCTTGCTTTTATATTTTCTGTATTAATTTTAGCCTTAGTGGAAAATCCTTCATTACATTTAAATTTGGGATTCAACGATTGGTACATGTTTTACTGCAGGAGAATTCTTGGAACTAGTTTGAGTGGTCCGATACCATCGTCATTTTCCAACTTAACTTCTTTAACACAACTGTATGTGTTGCCTTGGTGTCAGAATCATTATTTTTTACTATTTCTCTTTCTATCCCTCTCTCCACATAATCCTATTGTAAATGTAGGAGGCTTGGTGATATTTCCAATGTAAGCTCTTCTCTCGAATTCATCAAAGAAATGAAATCTCTAAATATACTGTAAGGCAACTTCGATTCAACTTCTAATCCAATTCATGATCAGATTAATGTACTGTTTCTCTCTCCTCTGTGTATTTAACATTTCTGATATGTGATGCAGAGTATTGAGGAACAGCAATTTCACGGGGACAATACCGTCTACTATCGGAGAATACTCAAGTTTGCAACAAGTGTAAGTACATATGTCAATGTCAGTATGTTTCTTCAAAAGCTCTGAAAGCTGTTTCAGGGTCTTTTCTGTAAATAGAGTGAGATGATTTGTTAAAGTCCCCGAGATAATATGGAATTATCTTAAATTGATGATGATATAAGTTCCTATTTTTCCTCATTCATTACTAAATATGAATGGTTTAATGTGTTAACCCGTCATGCGTGTCTGTTTTCCAGTGATTTAAGCTTCAACAAACTACATGGACCAATTCCGGCTTCACTTTTCAACTTAGGGCGACTTACTCACTTGTAAGTTGATATGTTTTCTGCTTCTATTGGATCTTTTAGTACAACTACCCGGCTAATTGTGGAATTTTTTTTGCTGTCTTCATATTAGGTTTCTGGGAAACAACTCCTTGAATGGTTCCTTGCCCACTCAAAAGAGGCAGACTTTGATTAATATGTGAGTAACACAGTCCATAATTTTTTGGAGGGTTTGATATAGACTCAAGTTTCGTACACCTAATCAAGGTGACACAGAATACTTGCCAAGATAATCAGGAAACTTACATATTCTTTAGATCCTAATTATTGTTCTTTTATACATACAGAGATGTGTCCTACAATGAATTGTCTGGGACTCTTCCTTCGTGGGTCAGCTTACCAAACTTGAAACTGTAAGTAAACAAAACACTATATCTCTACTTATATTCACAGTGTTTTTCAATCTCAGAATTTTGTTTTGTTTGTGTCTACTATTCAGAAACTGAAGCCTCCTTTTTGTAGAAAATAATTATTATAATCATAACAAAACTGTATGTTGTTTGTGCAGCAATCTAGTTGCTAACAACTTCACCTTGGGAGGTCTTGACAACAGGTGATTTTTTTAAACATGTTCTTGTTGATCCTTGAAGTTCTATTTAAACGAATTATCATTTCTTTCTTAAATCTCTTTTCTTTTTGTTAAAAGGGTTTTATCAGGACTGAATTGCCTGCAGAAGAACTTCCCCTGCAATCGAGGCAAAGGAATATGTAAGCGTAACAAATAGCTATCGTCATAACCATTTTTCTCCATGTGCTATGAGCAACCACATAGACAGTGGTTGTATGTACTGTTGGAAAAAAATTGCTTAACATTTTCTCTATTGACTYGTSTCTAGATTCTGACTTTTCGATCAACTGCGGAGGCCCACAAATACGGTCTGTTAGCGGAGCAGTATTTGAGAGGGAGGACGAGGATCTTGGACCAGCTTCATTTGTCGTTAGTGATGTTCAGAGATGGGCAGCCAGTAATGTGGGACTTTTTACCGGAAGTAGCAGTAATATATACACAGTTACTTCACAATCACAATTTGTCAACACTTTGGACTCAGAACTTTTTCAATCAGCAAGACTTTCTGCATCTTCCCTAAGGTATTATGGGTTGGGGCTAGAAAATGGAGGCTATACCGTAACACTTCAGTTTGCTGAAATACAAATTCTTGGTTCTATTTCTAACACATGGAAAGGTTTAGGAAGACGACGTTTCGACATTTATGTCCAGGTTTGCACTATTTGACCAAGCTTTCCGCTTTACAAGTTAACTTTACTACTTCCAAATTTGGTTCTGATGAATTCTAAGGCTTAGCTCCATTTTTCCAGGGAAGACTTGTTGAAAAGGACTTTGATGTACGCAGAACGGCTGGTGACTCTACTGTTCGAGCAGTTCAGAGAGTATATAAAGCAAATGTATCCGAAAATTACCTCGAGATTCATCTTTTCTGGGCTGGGAAAGGAACATGTTGTATTCCTATCCAAGGGGCTTATGGGCCATTAATATCGGCCGTTGGTGCAACACCAGGTTACACAAATGACGAATCCTGTTTTGTCCTGATTTTCACTATTTCCTAATGCTAGTCAGTTACTAAGTGTTACATATTTCTGTTCAGATTTTACACCAACAGTTGGCAATAAGCCCCCATCAAAAGGAAAGAACATGACTGGTACCATTGTGGGTGTCGTTGTTGGCGTAGGACTTTTGAGCATCTTTGCAGGTGTTGTTATCTTTATCATTCGAAAAAGAAGAAAGCGGTACACAGATGATGAAGGTATAGATGTAATAAGAACACAAACAAGCATTTGAGCTAAATGATTTTGGCACGCTGATAGAAAATTAAATTTGAATATCATCTTTCAAATTGGTTCACTATTAAAAGCCAATTTTTTTGTTGCAGAGATACTTAGTATGGACGTAAAGCCTTACACTTTTACTTACTCTGAACTGAAAAGTGCAACTCAAGATTTCGATTTCTCTAACAAGCTTGGAGAGGGGGGATTTGGGCCTGTTTATAAGGTAAGTCCCATAACGAAATGAACAAAATATCTGAATATACTCGAGGTACTATGAAAACAGAGTATATGTGATACCTTTTAATATGTTTGGTTTCGAATAACACATTCAACAGGGAAAACTCAATGATGGTAGAGAGGTAGCAGTGAAGCTGTTGTCGGTGGGATCCCGGCAAGGGAAGGGGCAATTTGTTGCAGAAATTGTAGCAATTTCTGCAGTTCAACATCGCAACTTAGTAAAACTTTATGGGTGCTGCTATGAAGGAGATCATCGTTTGCTTGTATATGAATACCTTCCTAACGGAAGTCTTGATCAGGCTCTATTTGGTACGCACAAAAACTGATCTATCGATCCATGCGTCTGCCTAGCTTAAAGCACTCATTATGCACTTGTCATTGATTTGGATGTTGCAGGGGACAAGCCTTTACATCTTGATTGGTCAACCCGTTATGAGATATGTCTGGGAGTAGCCAGAGGTCTAGTTTATCTGCACGAGGAGGCGAGGCTTCGCATAGTGCACAGGGATGTGAAGGCCAGCAACATTTTGCTTGACTCTAACCTGGTTCCGAAAGTTTCTGATTTTGGGCTTGCAAAACTATACGATGACAAGAAAACTCATATAAGTACCCGAGTAGCAGGGACAATGTAAGTCTCTCCAAACCCTGACTTTTGGTTTGCAAGACAATTATGAATTTATCACATATTTCCGTGGTGTTGTTGTACCAATGCAATGCAGTGGATATCTTGCGCCAGAGTATGCCATGCGTGGACATCTAACAGAGAAGACGGATGTGTATGCCTTTGGTGTTGTGGTTCTTGAGCTAGTGAGTGGAAGGCCAAACTCTGTTGAAAACTTGGAGGATGAAAAAAGATATCTTCTTGAATGGGTACGTCATTTCTTGTTATTATAACTGATTGTAAACGAAGGAAGTTTTGAGATAGTCATGAATCTGCGTTTGTGCCCTTTAGAAGAAGCCGATAATCCCTTGTGTTATTCTGGTTACAGGCATGGAATCTACACGAGAAAAGCCGTGAAGTTGAACTAATTGATCGTGAGCTGACTGAATTCAACATGGAACAAGTGAAACGCATGATCGGCATTGCTCTGCTGTGCACCCAGACATCTCATGCCTTGAGACCACCGATGTCACGAGTGGTGGCCATGCTTTCAGGGGATGTTGAGGTCAGTGATGTCACTTCTAAGCCAGGCTACCTAACCGACTGGAGATTCGATGACACCACAAGCTCCTCCATCAGCGGATTTCAAACCAAAGAGAGAGGCGTTTCTGAGTCCTTCTCCTCCATGACGCCTGGCTTCGAGTTGTCACCAAGAACCACGGACTCTAAGCCAATGCTTGGAGGCAAGATCAATGAGGGAAGATGACAATTGACAAAGACCCTTGTATGTAACAGATTGTGTATAGTGATCATCAATGTTTGTGTATACGAACGCTATTTTCTTGTTTTGATTGGAGGAACAGATTTCAGTTTGATTATATACTTAAAGCTGGTGAAATTGAAAGTAGAGAGATATATTGGTTGCAGAAATTGAGCAGAGAGACCGTATTATCTTTTTTTTATTGGGCTCTGTTTATTTTACTACTTTTAGCCCAATATTATTAGATCGCTTTAGGTCCACAAATTCACTACCAAAAATCAAGAAAGACGGCCACTTCTTCTTGCATACGTATATAGGGTTTCTTTATTCAAACCTATATATATATTCTCCTTTGAGATACATCCTCATTATCTAAATATACGGCTTTGGTCTGATGAAGTCTTCCTTGTGCTTCGTCTATTTATCTTTATTCCATTCAAATAAGCAAACTAGGTTTTAGGTTTTCACGAAAAAGCTCATAAGGCTAAAGGTTTTAGTGTATTGTATGTGTATTTCAAGCTTTTTAAGGCATGAGAAGTTGTTTGCAATGAGGATGTATATGCAATACAAAGCTACGGTTGTGCCTTTTGGCTATCCCGACACAAGTACAAAACTTATAGTCTTGGGATAGCCAAGAGGCACTAGAAGCGTTGTATATTGCCTCTACTTCCTCCTTTGTATACAACTTCCCATGCCTTGAGAAAAGCTTGAA